AATTCATTACAATAACATATGCTAAATAATTAACAAGAACAATATTTGTTAAAATTATAGGTAGGTACTTACGTTATTGTCTTAATTTTCTCTTTGCAACCATATTTATGACCAAGATTTGACAATTCACAGCAACAAGATTCCTAACTAAAATTTTTCTTTTCTAAAATCATCAGTTTCGCATGAAAGTAGTCATAAGTCATCTATGTATCGATATAATCTTGCCTAGAATTCACAGTTACTAAAGAGACATCAACGGTGCGTCAAGCGAGTAACCTTCCCATTTAGTTTCAGGTTATGTCTAATAAAATAGTAACTATAAATCTTTTCGACCAAAATCATTCATTTCAATTCATTACAATAACATATGCTAAATAATTAACAATAACAATATTTGTTAAAATTATAGGTAGGTACTTACGTTATTGTCTTAATTTTCTCTTTGCAACCATATTTATGACCAAGATTTGACAATTCACAGCAACAAGATTCCTAACTAAAATTTTTCTTTTCTAAAATCATCAGTTTCGCATGAAAGTAGTCATAAGTCATCTATGTATCGATATAATCTTGCCTAGAATTCACAGTTACTAAAGAGACATCAACGGTGCGTCAAGCGAGTAACCTTCCCATTTAGTTTCAGGTTATGTCTAATAAAATAGTAACTATAAATCTTTTCGACCAAAATCATTCATTTCAATTCATTACAATAACATATGCTAAATAATTAACAAGAACAATATTTGTTAAAATTATAGGTAGGTACTTACGTTATTGTCTTAATTTTCTCTTTGCAACCATATTTATGACCAAGATTTGACAATTCACAGCAACAAGATTCCTAACTAAAATTTTTCTTTTCTAAAATCATCAGTTTCGCATGAAAGTAGTCATAAGTCATCTATGTATCGATATAATCTTGCCTAGAATTCACAGTTACTAAAGAGACATCAACGGTGCGTCAAGCGAGTAACCTTCCCATTTAGTTTCAGGTTATGTCTAATAAAATAGTAACTATAAATCTTTTCGACCAAAATCATTCATTTCAATTCATTACAATAACATATGCTAAATAATTAACAATAACAATATTTGTTAAAATTATAGGTAGGTACTTACGTTATTGTCTTAATTTTCTCTTTGCAACCATATTTATGACCAAGATTTGACAATTCACAGCAACAAGATTCCTAACTAAAATTTTTCTTTTCTAAAATCATCAGTTTCGCATGAAAGTAGTCATAAGTCATCTATGTATCGATATAATCTTGCCTAGAATTCACAGTTACTAAAGAGACATCAACGGTGCGTCAGGCAAGTAACCTTCCCATTTAATTTCAGGTCATGTCTATAAAATAATTAGGTATTGTAAATCTTTTCGACCAAAATCATTCATAACAATAACATGTTAATTCTAGTATTGATTTAAACAGGACAGACACATAAATTAATCGAAACTGTAATAAAAAATTAAAAAGAGACAGTCTCGCGTTGATAATGCCTACGTATGAAGTGGGCGAAACACGTGTCCGCTCAAAAAGTTTTTGTAGTAATTAGAGATGTCTTCTTTTTAATTTTTTAATTAATTATTATTTACCACAGTCTCCTTTTTCTACTTTAAACTGTAATAGGTGCGTACTACCTATATATACATATACGAGGGTGGATTGATAAGTTTCCGGCCTAACCAAGAGATGACGCCACTAGGCCTACCTTGAGGTGACATTCTATAGTACCATCCTTGGATAGCTTGTAGCTATAGTTTCAGCCCGATCTCCTTGCTAGTGTAGGTTTGACAGCACGCTGAACAAGACGCCTCTGTGGTTTTCGTAAAAATGGAAAAGCAGGAAAATCGTGCTGTCATCAAATACTTTTATTTGAAGGGGTTAACGCCGAAGGAAATT